GTTCAGCGTTCAGCTGTGGAGTATTAACAACGGAAGCCGAAGAAATGACCGATTCGTGAATGAGAACCAAGCCAGTCACAGTGTAAAAGAAGACATTCGTAGTCCAGTAAGGAATGTAGCGAGGCTTAGTCATTGATTGTGAGCTGTTATAATTGATTGTAATTGTAATAGAAGTGTCAGTAAACCCAATCATCAAATCTAGACCCCATTATTATTAGTCACGGAAACCCCTCATACGTGACTATATATATTCGTAATTAGATTTGAGAACACGGACGGAACCAATCAGACGTTTCGTCTACTGCAACAGTCAGGGAGAGAAGGCAAGTTTCAGTCTTCCCGTTTTTGTATGACTCATTGAAATCTCGGTCTGTGCATGATCCCAGAGCATGTTGTAACAGTTACTGTTGCAATTATTTGGTTTAGACCGTTCAAGTAATGGCATGACACTAGGCCGCGCCATAGCTCAAGCGGTTAGTCGCTGGCTTCCCACCGCAGCGGCCCGTGTTCCAGCCTGGATCTGGTCACGTGGGATTTGTGGTGGACAAACGGCGCTAGGGAAAGTATTCTCCTAGTACTTCGGTTTCCCCTGCCAATCTTCATTCCACAAATTGCTCCACAATCACCCTCACCTATCATCTGGGGCTGGTACAATAGGCCAGAAGTGGCCGCAGTACCAAGTGAACTCAATCTCATCCCACTAAGAAAAAAATATCATGACAGGTCCGTAAGGTATTCTAAAACTGTTTCATCCTGATTCACGATTATAAAAATGGCATCCGACGTGATAATCGCCGGTCATAGTGAGGGCGCTGTCGAAGGCATGAACTGTCTTCGCTCACTCAAACACTTTGGGGCATGGATATCTTTGTGCGTTTATTCTGTGTTTGTGTTGTGTGTATAGGTAGCGACCTTGCGACGGGCTGATCCCCCGTGCAAGGAGTCCTACCGACTGTATATAGGATTAAGAAACTGCAAAAGCGGCCAAGTTCCAACAGAAGGACTGCAGAGCCATAGATAGATAGATAGGTGTGATGTTAGCAATCATAATTGCCGATCATTTAATAACTATCAGTCTATAAAGAGTATTCGAGACGGAAGTTAAGTCTGAGTTTCATTGCCATAGAAAATAAAAACAACCTTCGTGAAGAGGAAAATGGCCCCAATAAACGAACAAGGACAGGTGTATGGCAAAGGATCCTGCAGATGTGTCAGAAAAGGAAAAAAAAAGGTTGTAATTTTAACAGAAAGGAAAAACTAATTGAATGTCCGGAAGAAAACAGAATTCAAATAATATTGATATTCGAGAGACAGCTGAAGGTTTGTGGAACATTTTATGACAAAAATGCTGAAATATTCCTGCAAAGGGGAGATTTAAAAATGTTATTTAATCAAATCAGGATTCAACATGGAAGTAACAACATATGAACGCACACTCTCGTGGTATATGATTCAAGAATTTGCCTGATGACCAAAAGAGAGAGATGGGGCGTCAGAAGGGAGGATATTGTCACGTATTTTACTGACTTTTAGACGGGGTTTTTATTGGATACTTACAAGCCGTAACTACAAATAATTATAACACTTTACAAATTGCTATAATTATAACATATAAAATAAAACCTTCAACATCTGCTTGCTTAGTCATTGCTCGTTTTCTAGAATTCTCTATTTGAATGTTTGCGTCTTAGACAAAACTAACTTCATGCAGACCGAATATAGAACAGCCAGTCGGACAGTAAATTTTCTTCTGTTATTCTCCATTGCCACGAAAGTGCAACAATCTCCGGAAAGCACGTTGATTTATATAAGGGTATCCGTTGCCGCGGAAATATGTTTCAACTAGCCGTTGTTTAGCAACAGACGTCTCTGCTGTGCTTTTCTGACCTCACACTTCGGCGTTCAGGCGTCATGTCACAATATATATAAGATTTTTGTTTCTGCGAATAGTTGAATAATTTTTCTTATTTTGTCTGTCTCTGCTTAATTACAGTGAATATTTCCGTCATTTGGTCTTATCTTCGCTAAGAATTACGAGGAGGGCCGGAACATCAACAGAAAGACACTGCTTCAATATGATAATGGTTCAGTGGCAGATCTGTACACTCGTACCACTTCCTTGCCACTGATTTTACCCTCTTACGTCACGGTAGATGCTGTCCCCTTGCTGGTTAGATTTCCTTCACATCTCTTCCTTTGCTTGCGTGAAATTGTATCTATTGTGCAGTGCCAATGGTGGAGTTGCGATGGAGAAAGGCATAGTTGATTTGACAGGAACAGGCCGGCGGACTGCTCTCATGCCCAGCGGACGAAATAATTGCGTGGGTTTGTGGATTGAGAGCTGACGACTCAGCAAAGATGGAAAGATTTACCCTCGGATTGGACAATAACTTCCACGACCTGAACAGTATCGAGAACTATCATGTTGGTGAATGCTTTTGACACGTTTGTAGTTCGTGAAATTATCTGTCGAATTCAGGGTATATTCCCTGAAATATATTTTTTTCTCTTGAGAATATCTTTGTTCTTGGGTTAAAGGGACACAACAGTTGCACAAATTACCTAACGTATATCCCTAAGGTCCTTTATTCGAATCTAGTAAAAGTCTTATGATAGATTTTCTGTGGTTTTCGGTATGTGTTCTATACAGATAACGGAATTCCGTCTAAAACAGTTCATGACTCTTCTACTATACGAGTTATGTCCGTAACTTGCAGATCACAGTGGACGCGCGGTCTAAGCCATGAACTATCTTCGCCCGCTAGGCCACGCCATAGCTCAAGCGGTTAGTCGCTGGCTTCCCACCGCCGCGGTCCGGGTTCGATCCCGGGTCTGATCAAGTGAGATTTGTGGTGGACAACGTGGCGCTGGGGCTGGTTTTCTCCGAGTACTTAAGTTTCCCCTGACAATCTTCATTCCATCAAATTCTCTATCATCATAATCATCCGGGTCAGGTACAATAGGCCAATCAGTGGCCGCCGTGCCGAGTGAACCCAGTTGGACTCCACCCCACACCAAGCGAATTAAAAAAAACATTTTAATCTTGGCCCGCTAAAACACTGGGATCGTGGGTTCGAATTCCACTTGAGGCATGGATATCTGTGTACATGTTTTCCTGTGCATATAGCGGTCTTTCGACAGGCTGATCCCCCGTCCAAGGAGTCTAAACATTAAGAAACTGAAGTAAAACAAAGCATTTCACGGCTCCCCTCTGCTTCTAGTGGGAGCAACGTGAATATGAATAACTGAAATCATCTATAAAATGCGTTCTGCTCTCAAAATGTGAGGCCGAGTTTTACATCCATGTTAAACAATAAACATGGGCCCTAATATTTGTATAATTAATATATCGGGTTAAAATTAACGGCCGTGTGGATCTGTTGCGCTTACAACGCGACACCCTCTATCCGCAAAAGTTTGCACTAACTTCGCCGACAAGCAGCGGTCGCTCGGTCGGTATAGTTCACTTGCGGACTACAGGCTACGGAGTTTAATATATCGTGTTGTATGCACGACTTCTTATTTTATATAGCTTCCCTTTTTACATCTAATATTTGGGATTTCCACAAAGTTGCTGTGAAGAGTTAGAGTATTATGTAATGAGCACACCAATTCACTCTTATTTACTACACAACTGTCTCCACTCCGCCTTGCAGGTTACAGAACTTTAAAAAACACACAAGCTCCTAATTTCATTTCAGCAATTTCGAGTCTAATCATGTGTTTGTTTTCTTGAATGCACGAAGTTCTAATTCCGCTGTGTCATCCCTTCTTTGCTAGTTGTTCTCTGCTACCCTGAAGTTGGAAGCAATACATTTCTCCGAAACCTCTACCGATCTGTACGGCGTCACAATTAAGAATACCATACTCTTGATAGTAACCGCTGTGAGAACCTCAAGTCCAGCAGAATGTATTTGTTTGTTGTTTATGATTGTTACAACAATCGAAGATTATTTCTCTAAACAACAGAGCTTATTGCCATACATTCTATGTTAGGGAAACGCAGTGTGTTTTATGCTATAGGAACTAAATGTTTAAACTTTATTTGGACGAGTATAAAAGATTATTAACGCCGTCCACTGCGATTGATAAATGTTTTTGTAACCTTTCATCCTTTACATGTTTCGGTCGGAGCGACCATCTTCAGAAGGACATATCTCTACATACGCAAACTGCTATAACAATGTCATAGGTCATTAGCAGTGCTTACAGAAACCACTATTACAATGTAATAGACATAAAATAGTATCCTGTAACAATTACTACTATGTGCATGAATTTGTTTAAATATTTATAAAATATTATAATTAGTGTATTTATAAAGTATTGTTTAAAAATTGTTGTTAAAATGTAGATTAAAACAACATTTATCAATCACACTGGACGGCATTAATAATATTTTGCTGTAGCGTAGTTGGTTGAGGCACTATGCTACAAACCTGAAGGTCGCGGGTTCATTTCCTGATGAGGTCACTGGATTTTTTTCAGTTGACCTAATCCTTCCAGCCACACTATAGCCCTGGAGTCGACTCAGCCTCTAACAGAAATGAATACTGGGAATTTTCCTGGGGATAAAATGCGGCCGGTGCGTAAGGCTGACAACCTCACCGCCATCTTTGAGCCGACTGTCTAGAAAATGTGGGAACCTCAACATCTCACAACCCTATGGGCCTCCACGCCCTGTTACAGGGATACCTTTACTTTTTTACTATTGCTAGTGTGACGGACCAGGATGAACCAAGTCAGAGTTATTTGGACCACTTTCGGGCTTCAGAGAGTCAAACACGAAGACAACTTTTTGATAACCATTTTGTGACAGTGGTTAAGGCCCACCCTGTGCGTGGTGGAGTTGCTAGTTCATTGCCGTCCGACTGACACGTGGACTTGCATATATGATCTGTTACAAATGAAATATAGGTAACATGCAGGGGGTTATCTGCAACGCGTCAATTTTAGGGGCACTGAAATGTCAAATTGTATTCGGTTGGGGGCTGTTTCAGTATCGAGTTCTGGCGACCAGTTTGCGGTGTGTCCGACGCGCGCCGAACTCTGCCGACGCCGCCAGATAGTTAGAGTTCGACGGCAAGGACGTCAGTTGCGAATGAACTCTCGTACCGAGAGGCAGAAGGTAGTGCGCGATGGGGCGTCTTGTCGCCCGGCTTGTTGTCTCCGCTGCTGTCTGCCTACTGCTCACAGGTAAGGGGCACAACTCTGTTACGCTATGGTTGTGGTTGGAACCACGCGCTTGTAATGACATGGCTTCGATTTCTATCCACAGCTGACTCTGGGTACATGTCCACTGATTATTTAATTCTATCATCAATGTAGATGCATTGACTATAAACTTCTAAAATCATGTTCGTGCGCTGTGTAGGAAAATTATATCTGTTTATAAAATCTTAGTTGACTAACTGTATCTCTTTATATTGCGATTTCATTTTATACATTATCTCACAATTCTTTTCGTCCAGCTGAAATTATATTTTTTTAGCATTACCCTCTACGTAGTTAAAGAAAGTTGTTTTGTGTTGTGTAGTTGTATTTGTTGTCCTCTAAAAATGGAAGGTGATATAACTGACACCGAAAATATTAAGTTGCGGAAGTTCACTGTGGTAAATATATCTATCGATGCCGGGTCTGGTCAAGTGGGATTTGTGGTGGACAAAGTGGCGCTGGGGCAGGTTTTCTCCGAGTACTTCAGTTTCCCCTGCCAATCTTCATTCCACCAATTGCTGCACAATCACCCTCACATATCATCTGGGGCTGGTACAATAGGCCAGAAGTGACCGCGGTACAAGGGACTTAGCCCCACCCCACTAGCAATAAAAATGTTTCTATGAATGTGATTGTCTTTACAGTTTACAATTGTTAAATAATTTATATTGGGATATTCGTAAATGTTACAATTAATAGTAATAAATATATTTATTATGTTCGAAGACAAACATATACCTACACAAATGTTCATATAATGTGGTTATATCAGTTCTGTTAGTACGCAATTCCTCTCTTTCAATAAAAAATTTCTGAGCTATCAAACGCTGGGATATGAAGGAGCATCCTTTCAGCGTTACTTAATAGTAATATTGAAAGAGACCACTGCGAAGAACAAGGTATAGATGGGTGAACAATATTGAAATGGATCTTAGAGAAATATGATGGGATGGATTAGATTGATCTGGCTCAGGATAGGGACAAGTAGAGGGCTCTTGTGAACACGGTAATGAACCTTCGGGTTCCATAAAATGCTTGAGTAGCTGCAGAATTCGCGGCTCCTCCAGATGGGCTCAGCTCCATAAGTAAGTAAGTAAGTAATAGTAATATTGATGTATTTGGCATCTTTTTTGTGTGTAATATTCACTAACATTATTTTTAAAGCAATAATTTTCCAGCGGCACACAAAGAAACTCTGTATTGAATGGTTATATCGATCACCAGGCAGAGGTAGTAATTGTATACCAGTCTCAATAGGTTTATTGATTTGTCTAAAAAAATACTTTCATTTAAAAGTTATTTGATATTATAAACTGAAACTCTTTGAATTTGTGACGATATTCGAGAGTAAAAGAACGTTTTAATGTTCTTTTTCACGTTAATCTGTAATAGTGTGTATTTATTATATTAATCACTCTGAAATATGTGCTCGTAAGATGAAATAAAGTACAGAGAAGAAAAACTTAACTAGTTAAGGAAAAAGTTTATGTTTTCTCTACGCGAAGCTAGGTGTCTCTAGTTGTAGCATGTTTGCTTCGTGCTTACATGAGGTACAGATCTTCTAACGGTATACTTGCATGAAAACAGAAACAATTCCCGCTTGTAGACGTAACAATCTTCCCCAAACAAAACATAAAAAGTATAAAACATCTGTAGATAGGAATCTTCTATTGTTTTCAGTAACTTATCACACGTTTCATATTTATATATATCGGATTTCAGTTCGTCTCCTATCCAAAATGGCTTCGTTACGAGAGAAGTCTGGAAATGTTCCGAACTTGATATATAATCATCATCTCTCCATATTCATATCCTTGCTGAAGATATAAAAATGTTACGTGAATCCGAGACTGATTTTATTTTGTTAGCTTCTGGATGTATAAGGCCCAAGACGAGGGACATCAGAGCGAAACAGGCTGGATGCATGTGGTTTCTGTTACAATATTTTTATATCCACGGTTCTGGTCTCTGATTTCTCGAATCTTATATCCCGCTTGATTAAACTCTCTCAGATATTTGATGGTACTTGTACTCCTATAAACACATCAGCATATGAGAGGCTATGAAACTAAAAGATATACAGAAGAATACGTTTTGATAGTACATAGCTGCTCTCTAGGCACACAATAGACTATCAATCGGACACATTTTTTCAGGAAGATTCGCGGAATATTTGACTGTAATACATATTTGAAGAGTGGTACTCATTAAAAGAGAGTTGTGCCCCGTAATTTTTGTAGTTAGATGTTTGAATGCATTTAGCCTCGGAGAAAACTGGCCTCATTTGAAAATGTTGTAAATTTTGTACTTTTACCACTGATTAAGAAAATATCTCATCACCCTGTATGAATTCTTTATACATTATATTTTATTTTACTGCTCTTGCCCCCGCTTTGGAGCACAGGGCTGATTTCTCAGTTTCTTCATCGTTTTTACAGACGGTAGGACCACCAAACATCCATGCCCTGTGTGGGATTCGAACCCACAATCCCGTCTTCCGAGAGAGCCTCAGATCGCTCTGCTGCCCTGACCGGCATCCTTTATATTTTAACATAATTTAATTAAGAAATATTTGTTCAGAATTTTCCTGTACTATGTTTATTGAACATTATGCGGTTTGAGGTTGGTAGGGCGGTGAAAATAAACCTTGTGATCTTCGATTTTGTGGCACTATGTAAGTTCTGTTTGCGAACCGGATGTCTCCATTTTCAATATTTTTGTGCAGAATATGTGGCAGCAAATTTTTCGGAAAAGCTCGGAACCGTGAACAGAAATACAGGATCTCATAGCCCAGATGACTAGAGTTGTCATTCAAGATGATATTCAGCGCTTCTTCTTAAGAGATGTCACTGTTTGTCTAGTGTAATTCTTACTTACAGCTCCAACTTGGCCCTTACTTACTTGGTTCATTTGAAGTGCTTCATCAGATCCTGGGAATAAATAACATCCATTATTAATTGGTGTCTTTATTATGAATGTTAAGATGGAATGGGAATCAATTAATTAATATTAAATCTTCTTTTAGATATTTCACGTTTTCTAACATGTAACTTCACGTTTAAGTGGTTGAGTAACTGTGGTAATTATAATGGTTTGTTATTGGCAACCGGTTCCCAACGCGCACCAATTAACTAACTGGGAAGCGGTGTTCTCTACGCTGTCCGTGCGACAACTGTGTGACGCAAAAATAGAACTGTTGGAAGATATATATTCTGTGCTGCCCGTGCTGATGCGTTGTAAACAGGACAAGTCTAGAGTTCAGTGAGTTGTGAGACAGTCGCCGGCCAGCAAGGACGTGAACACGGTAGTTGAGGAATCCACGGCGTTGGCAGCCGTTACCAGGCGACAACCGGTGAAGACACAGCAGACTGAAAAGACTTAATACTGCTAAGTGTGTGATTTAGCGATAGCTCTAGAGTTATTTGTAGTTACATTCTGCAAGAGTCCCGTGAACCTTATTACTAATTTAGACACCGACCACAGCCACTCAATCATGTAATAGTATTTATTATCTACGCATTATAAGCAGGCTTAGAACATGCAAACACTGCGGAGAAACTAAAAATGTTACGACAAATATTTCAAATTAATTAAGACACATATAATTTATGTAGAAATACGGTATTTAAAGTAAAATAGATTTTCAAATGCAGTCCGCACTACAACAGAAATTAGTCAGTGATTTGGGTTTTGGTCTGTATTGTATTCATTTCTTAAAATTACACAATATGCAACATACTTGTAATGTTCTGTGTGCCGATAATCAGATGGGGCAGAAGAGAAGCTTCAAGGAGCAAATTATATTGCTTTTGAATCAGCGCTAAATGTTGTAACGTGTTTAGCCACTGAAGAGGGGTGTTCTCCATAGCGTAACACGTCACAATATAATATGCCTATCGCGTTTAGTGTGGCAATGAAAGGAAAGCACTTATTACGTTCAAAGATTATAATTCAAATCATAGAGCAGGTGCAGTGAAGTATCTTATCAACACAAAAACTAATACGGACAACAAAAAATCGATTAATTTAGTAGGATGAAGACATGTTGGAAAACCGGAATCTAAATATAAAAGAACTCAGCTTTGTCCTCATTACCTGTTAAACCCGAAGCGTTTACTTCGCTTAAAACGACAAGAAAAATATTTTAATTCATTGAATGAAATTTATTATATTTGGTGGGCTCAAAAAGTAAGGAATGATGCCTGGAGTCAAATGGGAAACCAGCGCCGTGGAAGATATCGAAAGTCAGTGACAATGAAGAAACCATCTTCTCAACGGATAACACGATACTTTCTAAGGCAGCAGATTTTTATAAACTGAAATGGAGGAGAGACGTTGGAATAAAAGAACGGAGATTAAAGTAAAGTTGTACCTATACTTAACTAATTAGGCACTACACCATGAAGACGTATGGGGGAGGAGTGGATGTATAGATCCACATTTCCTTGATATCGTCACTAATTGGAGGTGAGAAGTCAGCTTCAACCCCCGGTCCCTCTACCCCCAAAGGGAAAGGTCCCCTGTACCCATCGTGTGGATCCTAGAATCGGTCTTGACTACGTGAAGAAGAAAAAAATTCTTGATCCTACCGGGACTCGAACTCCGACATCATGTCCATCCCGTAGGCAGCCACTATACGGACTGTGCTATCCCTGCTCCTCACGGAGCGGGTACAGTCGAGCCAAAACTGAGTCTCGGAACTGAGACCCAACACCTGTTTTTATATAAAAATAAGAAGAAAAAGAGGACAGCTCTGGCCGTATTGAATTACACGCTGCATCCTGTGTTCAACACATTAGACACTGGAGAATCCGTTATAACTATTGTCCCTGTGTACTGTGATAGAAAGTTACTGTTACATTTATCGTGTTCCAGGTCCCAGGAAACGAAAAAGAAAAATAATGTTCTTGTTTACAGGTGCAAAAGTAACTTCTGTCGCAACAAACTTCAAGCAGTCACTCATAAAAAAAAAGGAAGAGAAC